AAAGATAACTGTCCCCACCCGAATGATGAATGAATGTTGCTTATTATTTTACTTCTATGTATTGTGTGTGTCTATTGTTTGTATACCCCCTCCCCTCATTTATGTAAGCCGCCCTGAGTCCCCTCAGGGAAAAGGGCGGCCTATAAGTATTAATAAATACTAAATACTAAAATACTAAATCCTTCCCTCCGCCACCCTTCAATCAGAACTGAAGAAGCTTCTTGGATGAGAAGTGAAACGTCTTCAAGGAAAAACGAAGCCCGGCTTACTTTTGAAAAAGCACCTTTGGGATAACGGTGACCTGGATGACTGAGAATCTCCATAGACAAACACCCTGCCTTGTTTTTTGCAGGTTTAAGTTAAACTCATGGCAAAATGTTAGTTATCAAAAGCTGATGGCGAGGAGAGCCATTGAAGCAGGAGACGAGGCCAAGGTCCTACAAAGGGAATTTTTTTTACCACACGCCCATATTTACCTGTGGATAAATTTCTTTACCACTTCCATGCCTGCATTCAGTTCATTCAAGGCCAGAATATACTCCTGAGTAAAGAGCCGCAACCGAGGACATTTACCAAAATCCTTTCAAAAAACAGAGAGGGAAACAGATATTTAAGACTCGGAAATGCCAAAGACTGGACTTCCAATAAGGATGTCTTGAGCAAGGGAAAGTTTCAATCAGTATTTATACAGATACTAGCTGATAATCTGGCTTTGCCTGGAACAAATCCCCCTTACCAGAGGGAGCCTCCTTGTGGAGTACTGTGAAGCTGTTACCATGGCAACTCCACTGTGCTGTACAGTAGAAGCCACTTCAAGGCACAACAGGCTGTATCTTAGCAGAATTAGAATCCAAAATGCACACTATCACTGTCAAAAGTACTGTGTTTTGACACAACAGATATAATGCATTCCTTTTCATTTCAGCATTCCAGAGTTATGCTGGAACATAGGTCAAGTGATCAAAATTTGGATGCTTGGCAAACTGACAAGTATTTATAACAACTGCAGGGTCCCGGGTCACTTTTCAGGTGGTTTCAGACAAGCAAAGTCAATGAGAGAAGACAGATTCCCTTAAACAACCATATGATTCACTTAAAACTTGCAGTGTTTTGCTTAACAACTGTGGCAAGAATGGTTGTAAAATCATCCGTGGTTCATTTAACAATCACCTTGTTTAACAACTGAAATTTTGGTTCCCAATGATGGTTGTAAGTCAAGGACCTCATGTACTCTTTTTTTAAATTAATAGCAATCACACTTAGACTTATATATCACTTCATATACCACTTTTACAGCCCTCTTTAAGCAGTTTACAGAGTCAGCCTACTGTCCCCAACAATCTGGGTCCTCATTTTACCCACTTCAGTAGTTTAGTTTAGTTTAGTTCAGTTTAGTTTAGTTTAAAGAAATTTGTATGCCGCCCACTCCCATTGGGACTCTGGGCGGCTCACAGGCAAGATAAAAGCATTTTTAAAAATTTTAAAAAAAGAAATACAATATTAAAATCAACACAACATCCATTCTGTCCAACAGGACAGTAGGACAGAAGGCTGAGTCAACCTTGAGCCTGGTGAGTTTCTAACTGCCAAATTGTAGGCAGTTGGCAGGCAGCAGAAGTAGCCTGCAGTACTGCACTCTAACCACTGCGCCACCGCAGCTCATAATGGAAAGAATGTTACTCAACCTTGTGCCCTGCAGATACCCTGAGTGCAACAACCATGTTCCCCAGCCAGCATGACTAACTGGGTTGGGTGGGACGCATTGCCCACCGATTAGAAGACTTGAGTTATAATAGCCCCACCTAGTTCATTACTAAAATTCCAAGGCCACCAACGCAGAAAGGCCCCTTCCCAAGATATGCCCATACTTGTCCCCGATTCTTTAATTGCTTGCGAACCTCCACAGCTCTGAAGTTGCTGTCTGCAAGATTTGGGTGGTTGAAAGGTTTTCTCTTGCTTGAATGCAACGCGCTCCCAAAAAGTTTGCAGAAAGAATAACCATGCCAAATAAGGGCCAGGCCGATTCGGAGGCAGCTGAGTCAGCCAGCTGATTTTAAATGTCACGAAAAAGCAGCAAATTTGCTAGTTATTTAATTTGCTGCTGTTATGTTATTACAACATCAGTGAGCTTCACAGCTTCGGATGCCAAGCATGTTGGATCGCTTCAGGCAATAGGTATCCTTGTTTTCTTTTGAACATTTGGGTCTTCGGTTTTACTTGGAAATAAGAGCTGATTGCGGGACACGCAGTAGTCTAAATTGGTCAACACAATCGAATGTTCTCCAGGGGTTTCGGGCTATATCTTCCATTGTGGATGGAAGACTACCACGAACATCTGGAAGGCTTCGAGATGCATGTCCACATTAAAGACCAACAGTGAACTCATTCTTTTTGCTCAGGTTATGTAGCCCAAATGAGAGCCACAGGGAGCCAAAAGCTGGTGAGATCAAGGGACAGCGAGACATAAACATTTTAGGAGAATGCAGTATTGCAAACTAACTCTGCCCACTGCCAGGAGTCCGATCCTGACCGGCTCAAGCTTGACTCAGCCTCCAATCCTTCCAAGTTTGGTAAACTGAGGACCCAGATTGTTGGGAGCAACAGGCTGGCTCTGCAAACCACCCAGAGAGGGCTGTAAAATACCATGAAGTGGGATATAGATCTAAGTTGTGAGCCATGGGGGCGCAATGGTTAGAATGCAGTACTGCAGGCTACTTCTGCTGACTGCCGGCTGCCAGCAATTTGGTAGTTCGAGTCTCACCGGCTCAAGGTTGACTCAGTGGTGAAATTCATTTTTTTCCTTTACTACCGGTTCTGTGGGCATGGCTTGGCGAGTGCGGCAGGGGAAGGATACTGCAAAATCTCCATTCTCTCTCCATTCCAGGGGAATGGGATTGCAAAATCTCCATTCTCATCCCACTCTGGGGCCAGCCAGAGGTGGCATTTGCTGGTTCTCCAAACAAAATTTCTTCTACCGGTTCTCTGAACTACTCAATATTTCCGCCACCGGTTTTCCAGAACCTGTCAGAACCTGCTGGATTTCACCCCTGGGTTGACTCAGCCTTCCATCCTTCCGAGGTCAGTAAAATGAGGAGATTGTTGGGGGCAATAGGCTGACTCTGTAAAGCACCGTGAAGCGGTATATAAGTGCTATTGCTAAATTCTATTGCTATTGTTGTTGTTTCTGTCTATCAGAGTGGAAGAAGCCACAGTTAAATTGCCAGGTACCCAAATGAAGGTATTCCATGTTCTTTTATGTTGTTAAAGGTACTACACCACAACATTTCTCCTGTCCAGCAATGAAGGTAGGGGTATTCTTAAAAACTGGTACGAAAAAGTTCAGGAACAGTTTAGACACATGTTGCAAATGTGATTGGTTGAAAGCGAGCAGGCATTATGGACATAAATGATTGACAGACCGCGATGATGCCTTGTGCTCCTTTCTTTGTGAAATTCCTCAGTCCCTTGGCTGAACGCTTGTGTCTGTCCGACCCCTGCTTGGCCAGCAAACGGGGCTGCACAAACTCACAAAAGGAGCCGAGATCTTTTGACTGATTTACGCCTCCACTTAGAATGCCGTTAGCATAACAAATGTTTGTATGATATCACAAATGGCGGTTCTCCAAATTCATCAGGACCAAGAAGATTGAGTCTTTTTACAGCCGGGGCAATGCAAAAGCTGAACATCTGAACATCGGCGGTGGAGACAATGAAGTTGCAAAGGCCAGACCATAAATCTCAGCTTTTCATTATCTACCCTGGATGGTCAAAGCACTCTGGCAGTTAAAAAGGATCTTCCCCTAGAGCTCCAACGGATTGTCAACTGTCTTTTGCATACTGACATTATTTGAGGATAACCCCACCATTGGCTTCCTCTAAGATAGCTTTTCTTCTTGAAGGGCTGTGCAGATTTTTTTAAAAAATAAATTGCCCATGGGGAACATGTTTCTTGCAAGAGGCAGACTCATGGGCAGCCAAGTGAAAATCTGCAGACCTCTTGGCACAAGTCATTTCATGTTGCAAGGTTTCAGCTTGCAAAATCAGCCTGGGTGCATTTAAAAAAAAAAGGTGAAGGGGTTGTGCTACTTGTAAACCAAAAGATTTTCTGCAAAGCATAAAGGTGATTGTTTCATCAGTTTAGGCAACTGATTCAGAGGAAGGTTACTGCCTAATTAAAAAAAAAAAAATACTACTCAAGCAGTTACATTGCTTTCGATGGATTAAGACCTAGATTTAATAGGAAAATGGACGCAGACATAAGAATACAAAATCTTCAGGCTTCCCTGAAGGCTCCGGAGGGTGAAAAATGGCCCTATGAGCAAACTGGAAGTCCATTCCCAAACTTATGGTTTGCCCGTAGGGCCAGTGTTTCGTGCTTTGGAAGCTTCAGGGAAGGCTCTGGAGGGTGAAAAATGGCCTCAAAAGAAGGCCGAAGTCAGCTGACTAGTGTGCGCGCTGGCCAGCTGATAGGGCAATGCTTTGCGTGCCCTGCCATAGGTTCGCCATCACGGCTGTATTGTGTAAAGGAAAGTCTCATCCTCCCTTACACTTTCCCCCATGTGGTGTGTGTATTTCTCCACAAGTGGGAAGAAGCCTCTGAGGCAGGACCTTCCTGGAAATTGCAAGTGTGATTCAGAAACCACACAATCATACTTCCATAATCCCGCCTGGAAGCTCCTGCTTGGTTGTTTGGAAAGACAAGTGATGAATCGATCTATCGCTTGCCTGACTGCCTACCTACCTCTCATAAAGTAAGAAGTTCTTTGACTAAAACGTGACTCATGGTTAGCATGTGAAGCTTTTGCACTTGGTTTTGGAAGCTGTTTGCTATTATCTTCTTCTGGAAGCTTGTTTCAGTAGATTCTAAGCTTCTTACAACTTTGGGAGCTCTTTAGGGTCTGCATCAAAATATTAATCAAGCTTGACCCTATCTAGTTTCTCAGCCCAGAAAAGACTGACAAATATCATTTTGGCCTTGTGGTTGAAGGCACCAGGCTAGAAACCAGGAAACTGTGAGTTCTAGTCCCACCTTAGGCATGAAAGCCAGCTGGGTAACTTCGGGCTGATCACCAGGAGATGGTGAGTTCTAGTCCCATTTTAGGAATGAAAGCGAGCTGGATGACTTTGGATCAATAACCAGGAGATGGTGAGTTCTAGTCCTCCCTTAGGCATGAAAACCAACTGGGTGATTTTGGGCCAATCACAAGGAGATGGCGAGTTCTAGTCTGGCCTTAGGCATGAAAGCTGGCTGGGTGATTTTGGATCAACAACCAGGAGATGGTGAGTTCTAGTCCTCCCTTAGGTATGAAAGCCAGCTGGGTGACTTTGG